CGATCAATCACTATTACAAATGCATATCATATGGACTTCTATCTCATTCTACTGAATGTATAAACATGTAAATATAAGAATTAATATAATGACTTCTTTATTATTATTAAAATAAATGATGCAATAATATATTAATATGAGCCCATCCAAACATGGTTGAATCTTAGGCACCAACACTAATAGTTCAAAGAGGAAAATGAATTTCAAAGGCATAAAAATGATTTTTTTAATGCATCATGTACATTGCATGTATAAAGAGCACTACATGCATTCATGTATGGATTATACTTAGCGAGCAACGCTTACATAGTGATATGTTCTCTAACATCATTCATATGTGTGCTTGCTTAGACATCATCATGCTAGTAAGTGTGAGATCTCATATTGTTATCCAATAAACAAAGCATAGCACACATATGTCTTAAAGCATATTATCAATGTCTAATTTCAATAATGCTACAAATTGAAAAATTTAATGATTTTATTTAAGTGTATTAGTGTGTGTCTCACATCTATTATCAATCATCAAAGTAATGAACATCATATAGACTTCTATCTAATTTAGTTAGGTTATAAATAACATAAATTAATAGAAAGACTTCTTTATTAATAAATATGCAATGATGCAATGTGCAAATTATCCAAACAAGTTAGATCTAGGGCACCTACACTAACATGTGCGAGGCTAAAAGATCATTTTGTGTATGTGCTTGATGAGTGCATAATTAGCATGATTATTATGCTCTTTTACATTGAAATTTCTATTGTTTTTTATACTATATTTAGTTAATTAAGATCAAGATAAGGATTTCAGATTTTGTAGAAAAAATGACAAATTTTTGGCAAAGTAACCCAAGCCAAAGTAAGGAGAAGCAAAAGTCACTAAGGAAGCTTAAGAGCCACATAGGCGGTAGCTTTCCACATCGCTAGAGCAAGAGACGCAACATGCTTGTACATGTGTCAAGACTAAATTATCTTCTAAAAGGAGAGAGGTATCACTTGGGCAATATCCATTCTATATGAAATTCATTGAAAAAGAGAAACATTTATGTGCGTTACAATAAGAAGAATGAAGTAACCAAGGCATATAGACGGAATGATGTAACATGAGATGAAGGCCTAATTCCACATGTTTATGTGCCTATGTCTAGCAATTTGGATAACACTAGCTCTCTAAGGCTCTAAACCGGATGAATTAGAAGAACAAGCTATGTGGTTTTACCATACAAGCCATGTGACTATGTGAGACCGACATATGTGTGTTGTAATCCTACTTTTAGCTATAAATAATGAGGCTACGGTTTTATTTGAAAACTCTCCATTGTAATCGGCTATAAACAACTAAACGCCTATCTTGGTTGAAGGAGGTTAAAGCTTTTGGTTAAATCGTTATGAGATATTAACACATTTTAATTCTAAACTTATGTTTTATGATTATTTTATGTTTTTTTTTTTGCATGAATTGGTTATGATTGTGTGATTAATTTATTAGAGTGCATGCTAATTACTTAATCTTCATAATTTATTACTAGCTAAGTAATCAACTTCGTGTAATTGATTATTTAAACTTACTTATGGTAGTAACTAAAGGTTAATGATTTTAAATGCATTTTTGTTTAATCCCTCGGAAAACATAGAACTAGATTACATCTTTCTAGTATCTAGAAGGATGATTTAGCTTCACATGTCTTTCTTTACTTTATTGTTATTATTGGATTAAATCTATCTAGCCTCTAGTAGGTTGTTCAATAGCTAGGACATTAATCAAGTATCATTTAGTTGGTTAATGAATCACCAAGAAAAGATTGGGGATAACATGTATGTTATTTTCTTATGATGAATATTCATGTTAAGAATAGATAAATAAGTGAATCAATGATCAATGAATAGAACAAAAGTGGATATGAAACTTCAACCAAGACCTTTCTCATTATAGTTATTTAATTTACCTTTGATTACTTACAAATCACAACAAACACAAACCCCCTCCCTCCCTCCCCTCCCCCTCCCCCTACTTCCTTTACACTATAGAAAAATCAAACTATAGAAATCGTTGATTAGTCCACTTTCCTATAGGTTCGATCCTTGCTTACCCTATTTACACCCTTGCGGTTAGGTTTCATAAGCAAATAAACAAATAACTAATTTATTGACAATAAGACATGCTATCAAATTTTGGTGTCGTTGCTTGGAGAGGATTGTACTTAAGTTGATTATTTCTTAGTATTTTAATTGTTCTTGTTATTTATATTAGATTTTTATATGACCACATCATAACCAAATGATCTAATTTTCAACCCCAAAATAAAAAGAAAATTGAGCAAGTTGAGGAGAGAAATTAGAGTAGTTTTGATAGAGAGGATGGAGATATCCAAAAGAGTAGTTTTTACTTCACTAAGCATAACTATCATTCTCAAATTTTTATTATCAAATGATTCTAAAGAAGAGGTAATGGTGGCAAACGGGACTTTAAATGAGATTGGTCGCTCTTGATATTAATCGATAGTCCTTGTATATAAAGTTCCCGAATCTTGATGTGGCATTTGAATTGAAATTGAGACTAATACACTTGCTACCAAAATTTCAAGGCCTTGTTGGAGAAGAGCCCCATAAGCATTTGAAGGAATTCCATGTGGTTTACTCAACTATAAGACCACAAAAAGTATTAAAGGAATAGATTAAATTACAAGCATTCCAATTTTTCTTGGATAGGGATGCTAAGGATTAGTTGTATGATCTTTCTATAGTATCCATCGATTCATTGAACGGAATGAAGCAAGCCTTTTTATTAAAATATTTTTCTATTTTGAGAAGTCGTTAGTATACAAAATGAGATCTACTACATCGGAAAATTTAATAAAGAGACACTATATAAGTATTGGGAGCTGCCCACATTACCAAATCTCTTATCAACTAATGATTGTGTACTTCTATGAAGGATTGCTACCTATGGAGAGAAGTATGATAGATACTACTAGTGGAGCACCTGGTAGATAAAACCTTCAATGCTATAAGAGTATTGATATCTAACATGGTTGTAAATTCTCGATAGTTTGGTGCGAGGATTGATCATGTACCAAAAAGGGTAAATGAAAAAGTCCATATATCTAACTTGGAGTAAATTTCGACTCGACTTCATTGGTAAGGCAAATGGCCATGGAAAACCTATAAGTAGTGAAAGCTTATAGAATTTGTTCTATTACAAGTCACACCACCGATGCGTGCCCAACACTCCATTCGGTAATAATAAATTTTAAGCAATTAAAAAAAAAACTTTAAATTTTTTCAATAATAATTTTTTTAACCGAAATGCTCAAGTGAAATGAAAAATTAATTAATTAATTAATTAAATTAAAGACTTCAAAAATAAAACAATTAGCTCATGTGATTTTAAGCGTTTGTTTTAGTAAAGGGTATTTTGATTTTTTAAAAAATCTATAGTTAGAAAATTTGATAAATAAAGAAAGATTAATCATTTTTAAAAAATTCTATGGATAGATGAGATGTAATTAAAAACTTATGAACATATAAAGTACTTAGAGTATTATATAATGACATATTGAGCTATTTATCCTCTTTTCTTTCTACTCATTTTATGCTTAGTCATTCTCATTCGAAACTTACAAAAATAATAAAAATCATGACAATTCATGAAAATTTCAAATTTAAAAATGTATAAATAAGAAAAATATGTAATTATGAATTTTTTTATTTTTTAATAATTATTATTATTGTTATTGTTGTTGTTGTAAAAATAGGAGACTGAAATTAGGTTACAACAACTATATCTCAAACAGCTTACTTTGATTTTGTTGAAAGGCATTATTTATATTAAATATGTTAGCATGGAATCAATTTTAATCATAGTTATAATTTAATTAACTACTTATTTAGTTTAGTTATAGCTGAAAATAATTTCCGTTGGATGTCTCAATCTTTCAATTAAAACAAAATGTTCAAAAAAAAAAAAATGTTTCAGATAAAGCAACATTGTAATATCAATTATAATGTGATTGGAATTGTCAAATCTCACATAAGTTAATGATAACGTAGTCCATTTAGTTCTTGTGACATAGAAAAAAAAAATTAATTATATTTTTAGATCAAATCAATCAATGAATGAAAAGAAAGCCTTTATCAAGATGCGAAATGGTGACTCAAGTTATAAAAGAGTAGGAGCTCTTTCATAATCAAATCTTTCGTCAATTTTCATGTTTTTTCTTTTAATTTATTTTTTTAAATAGAAAAAATAGGTAATATGAAAAATATGATTAATAAAATAAAGAAATTAGTTCTTATACTACACAATTAATTAAAATTGATGGTCAATATCATTAATAGATTATTTAATTACTTTTTAATATCACAAATTAGGGTTTTTTTTTATTCTATAAATATTTTTGTATCAGTTTGTAATTTTTTTGGACAATTTTAAGATCTTATTTTAATATTATTATTAAAAATTATTAATTTAATGATAAACTAGAATCGAATATTGAAATCATATTTTTTAAAAAAAAGTTAAATTTGTTATTCTCTAATTAAAAAGGATAAGGCATATCTCTGTTATGAGATAGAGATATCTAGATAAACTAAAATCAAAAAATTAAAAATTAATGCATTAAAAGAATTTAATAAGGTTCTCAGAGTCTTTCATTTTCTGGATTTATTCTTCAGTATGCCTATGATGCAAGTTCCAATTGCTTTTATTATTGATAGAATGAAACCACAATAGAAGCAGTTGACATGCAAACTTTCAAAAAAAAATAATAATAATGCATGCTTAATGCATCTCCGAAAGAAACAGTAATGTAAAGAAAGCTAAAAAGGATCCAATGCAAACGACTCTGTACATAATTGTTCCTGAACCATGTCCTACAGAGCAGATGCCTAGCTAACAATTGAGTAGAAATTCACTAACAACTTGCAGCAATATCAGAATTACTAATTAGTAACACCTATAGCCACCAAAAGAAAAAGCTACCAAATCAAAGAACTTTTCACATCCCCATCAAAGGAAAGCTCGCTTCCATGGGAAACTGAAGCCCAACTAAACACAATGTTACCACAAGCTCCAAGAAATCCCAGCTGATTATATCACCTTACGGGTCATCACATTCTGAAGTCTAAAACACAAACTGTATTGTTGGCAAAACAGGCAGCAATTTTATCACCTTCCTTGTTCCAACAAACTTCAAATATTCCCCCATTGCCAGCATATGTTTTCACAATCTTTCCTTCCTTCAATGACCAGATGTTGATGCATCTATCAAGAGATCCACTTGCCAAATATTCTCCATTAGGACTAAATGCAACCGAATACACAGGCTCCCTGGAAAATCAATTGAAAAACCTGTCAATAATAGCTACAAATAGGGAAGCAAAAATTTGATTAATCATTAAATCAATTATCTGTTCACTGACAGGATAACAGAACATGCATTCTTCTTTAACTAGAACAGCCCTGAAGTTATTAAGAGACTAAAGCAAGAGAGGATTGCAGATTCATCTATCACTGATTGGCCAAACTCAATAAGGTATCAGTTTATTACTTGATGGTTAGTAAAGAAGAAAAGAGGTCAAGAAAAAATATTGGGGCAGAAGTCAGAAAAATCTCCGAAGACAATGATAGGTTGAGATCACATGAGGTCAAATTCAGAGCAATGAATTCAGGTAACTTCAAAATACTGGTTCATTTAATCATTACACATTCAACCACCCAGAAGTTGATAATGAAACGGAAGAACTTTTTTCTCCTGATCCTTTAATATGAAAAGAGAGAAAGAAAGCTAAGTGTATACCTGTGTCCATTCAAACTGCAGAGAAGTTTCCCCAACTCCACATCCCATAATTTCACCGTTGAGTCAAATGATGCACTATACAGGAAGCAGAAAAAGATGATATCAGAAATCAAACATAAAACAACATCAAAGTTGACCTGAATCATACAAGGTGCTACAAGAAATTGATGTTTCATCACCCTATGCAAAACTGGGAATGGGGTTAACAGGATTTCTTTAAACTTAACAAAAAAGAAGTATTAGTCAATAGAAGAGAATGACAGTGCTGGAGGGTAATTCCAGAGCTACTTAATTTGCAATGCACATGTCTGTGCATGCTGAGATGCACAAATAACATTTAAGTTAAAGCAGCAATTTTACCTCGCCAGCACTAATTGCTGGTTTGGATTATTTGTACCAGGTCCAGTTGGGCTCCATCTGATTGTATAAATCTCCTGCAACAAGATTATTGAAGATTCATGATAGCAATCCACTGGGCTATAACAAGCAAGTGCATAAACACCCAAAAAATCTTTATCAGTCAAAATAAAAGCTATACAGTACCTTAGAATGCTCCCTCAAATCATGAACATACTTATCCTGCCTCATACTCCATATCTGCAGTACAATTTCATCAGTTGCCAACTATGAAAGTAGCAAGCTAACAAGTAACGAAATAGGACTTAAAAGGGCACATAAGCAAATGATAACAACGGATTCTGTTTAAAATAAAAGATCAGAGACTAGTATAGGGCATTCATGAGTCGTAAATGAACAAATATAATCTCAGAAATTAACATGTGAATCAGTCTATAGATGACAAAAAAGGTAGCACAGAATAATAACCTTAGCACTGATATCATCAGAGCAAGAAGCCAACAAAGAGCCTGTAGGATCCCACTTCACACAATTAACCTCACCCTGATATTGCAAAAAGGAAGAAGTATAAGCACCATCAAAAGCTTTGATTGTTGCTCAAAAAATGTTAATTCAACCGCAAAGCTTAATGTTATAGTTAGAACCCAGTCAATAAACAGCTTCATCAAGTTTTTTTATATTGCAATTAGAAACATGAAGGTGCAACCTGATGATTCATGAAATTAGGCATCCAAGTGAACTAAATTACAATGCTAAACAATCATTGATTTGATGTATTAAATCATTCTATATTTATTTATCATATCAGATTGGTAGCTTCTAACTAAATTAATCAGACTTGGCCTCACATTGCACCATTGATAATATCTTACATGCACCAATTTCAGTTGGTGATTCTCGTCCCTTCTAAAATCTGACAGCACATAAAAAAGACCAAAAAAAACTCTGCCAGCTGACTTGAGATATAAAAGGCTCTAACTATGAGTCTGTTTTGCATGACTTTTCCCTTTGAATCATAATTCAAAAGTTATTTTTCCTAAATAACATATGATAAAAATGAGTTAAGTTAGAAGTATGTTTGGTAAATACTGACCCAGATCAACTTTTTTTTTAAGAAGGGAGGTCGTGTAAGTTAGAATCACAAGTCAAGAGTTAAAAAATTCAACTATTGATTAAAGCAACATTTTGATTCAATTTTGTAACAAACTTTTGATTTAAGTCAAAAAGTTTTCTTCACCAAACATAATTATGACTTTTCTTTGAGTCAGAGGTTAAACACTAACTTAAATCAAAATCCAAAAGTCATGCGAAACATAACCTAAATTACTTCAGGCAAGTTTGAACAGAATAGTGATAGCAATAAGCAATTTTAGGATCCTAGAACAAACCTGATGTCCAGCAAAAGTTTTAATAGGGCGTGTTTCTCCAACTTTGCATACATATATCATATTGTCAGTGGAGCTTGTTGCAAATGAAACATTATTGCGCCAGTCAACATCGAGCGTAGGACCTAAAACAAATACCAATATGAAAACAAATGCAACAACAACTAGTGGTTTCTTTTTTCTGAAGAAAGACCACTGATTCTAGAGATTTGAGTGAAATTTAAAACCTGAATGAAACTCAAACTGCTGTTTCCACTCCTCAGCCCTCACATCCCACACAATTGCCGTTTTATCACAACTTCCAGTTAGAAGATAATCCCCCTTCTTGTTCCACTTCAGAGTAAATATGGGTCCTTTATGCTTACTCAATGTAGTCTTTAGTTCGCCTGGACCAGGGAAAAAATCAAGAAGATAAGCCAGAGTTCTAAATTGTACAGAAAAACTAAAGCAAAAGCACAATGACAATTAACAACAGAATAATAATATATGTATATCAGTGTTTAGGCACATATTTTCATAAAATGTTGCAGTATTGGTTTGTCTAAGTGACAAGTTAATAGTGGCTCACTTGCATGAGCATACCCTGCACTTAAAAGTGAGGAAAGGCCACCCACACAAACACACACACACAAAAAATAAATAAATAAATAAAATAAAAATAAAATAAAACAAACAATGAATGGTATCTCAGCTCCCTACATTTTTATTGTTTATTTTTACATATTTGACTTGCTGCTCTTTCACGCTGAAATAAAAGGAAATGAAACATATCATGCTAAAATATCTTACCATCAGTACTCCAAATTCTTGCCTGCCCATCATAAGAGCCGGTTGCAAGTAATGTTCCCTCACCCTGTCCAAAAGGAGGCAAAATAATGATCAATACATATCAGGAAAAGAGATTAATTTTACATGTAAGATTAATTTTCTTGATTCTGCAAGAACAAGGGAAATCATTGCCGTCAGACCCTGCCTATCAGCTTCAGTTTGAGCATATTTGAAGTAGAAGTAAATGAATTGCCATTTTAAGCTTATTTTTTCCCCTTTGGCCATTAAACTATTCTTGTGAATTCACTTTTCTTAAAGATTTACGTGTCATAAGAATATGCTTCTTGGCAGGTATTCCCCTTTTTTTCCTTGTTGCCCCCAAAGCATAAAGGCTTTATGGGGGGGGGGCGCGGTGTGGGGAAGGAAAAAAAAAAGATCTAGATAAGACCACATGGTTCTTGTCAAATAAAATGTTCCAAGGAACTAAATAACATGAGTTGACAAGAATTAGGTTCACCACTTTGATTCCAATGTGCTGGTATGGAATTATCTTTGCTGTTTTTAGATATCAGATTTTATGGATTTATGACTTGTGTATCATATTATGAAGAGATGCTAAAATCACTATTATCGACAATTGAAGCCTCTAACAGAGCTCACATTCCAATCAAGTGTTGTCACATCTTTGCTTTTCTCATTTGTTCTTCCCTTTACATGCTTCAATACCAGCACATTTAAAGGACTATTCTGCACAACAGATCTAGAGGTCCCCTCTGCTATTGTCCAAATTCGTGCTGTGGAGTCTCCAGACCTGGAAATTATGGTCAAGAGACTGACATGTAAGGCATAAGAAAAGGGACAGATAACCAACAATTTTCTAATGCTATTATAGATACCATGCAATATTACAAGTTATCTACAACTTTAAGAGAACTTAAATTACAGATGCTGCATAATATACAGAAAAGACAGTTACCACTGAAGGCCATTACCTCTGTGTTGGTATTATCAAAGTTGAGAAATGGAATGGGCAATCTATATAGTCATAACCACACATTTTGAAATACTTTGTAACAGTGAAATTAAATACCAATAGAAATAGCAGATTCCTAAAGACACTAGATCAAGCAGCTCAAATCATAGCAGAATTGAGTGCAAAGAAAATGACACGGGAGATTTCTCTAGGATTTATTTTATCGTATTTCTACTATTAGGGTTACTTAATTAATCTAGGGTCATGTGATTAACATGCGACTTTTAAAAGTATTTCCTTTATAGGCCAAGTAGTTTTCCTTGGGGACTAAGACTAGGAATCCTTATCCTACAAGGATATAGGGTTTAAACTAATATAAATAGGCTGCTAGGGTTATTTAAGTAGTAGTTTTACATTATTTTATCAATCTATTCAGATTCTAGAGGTTTCGTATTAACCCTAAATTCTATTATCTTGTTTCAACTTTAATTTTATCTTAATTTTAGCCATTATTCTGCTGTGATTGCTGTTTCTAGTCCATTCTCCTTCCCACACTACGTACAAAACCTCTACAGTGGATATGATGCACATTGTCCAGCATGCGTATCTTATCACAATAAACTTCAATGCTTTGGTCCTCAAATATCAAATTGTCCAGCATGTGTATCTTTCATTTAAAAATAATGTGACAAATTGTATCAAATCTAAAAGATTATTTGAATTTACTTCATTTCATTACCAGAATTATTTTACCTATTTGAGGATTGTATAACCAAATACCAATACTCCATTAAGCCTGGCATACTTGTTACTTACACAAGAATAACAAACTGTCATGGCTTGTTATGTTTAAATAATGTTCTGCTCCTTGCTACTTATTGATGAAAATTGGGAAATTTATTCAATGCTAAGAAAATTAATCAACATCTTGACATATCTCATGAAGCAATACTCTTACCAATAATAGAAAACTAAAAGTCAAATTACAATAGGTTTTGGCATATAAATCAGAGATGCAAACACAGAAATATCAAAAGTGTCTCAAACAAAAATTACTGACCCTGATGCAAGAAGTGATCCCGTTGGACTCCATGCACAGGCACAAACCTGAAGGAAGAAAGAAAAAAAGCACAAGGTAGCAGACATATCTAGCTGAAAAGGGCAGTAAGGCCAAAACAAGAAACAAGATATTAATATAAAAAAGAAGAAAGATTGGCATATACTCCAACCTCAGAAGTATGTCCTTCCAAAATCATCACATCAGAACTAGGAATTTCACACGTCTGAGATGTTGATGCTGTGGATATATCCATTGGCTCTGGTCCTATGAAACAAAGATTTTTCACATTTAGGAAATATATAACATGGAGGTGAGAAAAGGAGAGCGGCAGAAAGAGTAAGAATACTTTATCTACTAATTATTCAAGAAATAACGGACAACTGAAAAATGATAATCATTTATTCTCCACATCCATCCATATAACTAACATTTCACCATACTCCAAAGGAAGGACAAAGCATTACTTTTAACCGTAACAGCAAGCCTCACCATCCTGGCATTGTGAAAGCACAGAACTCTAGACAATGGCGTGATAGTGATGAAGTAAAATTATATCTGAAAATAGCCTATATTGGAGCTTAAGCTTAAAAGAGCTGGAACAGAACAAAGAATGTTCATAAATAAAAGAACAGTGTTATAATTTAACCATGGCAGTGTTGTCACAAGGCACTCACCTTGGAGGCCGAGGGAAGGCCAAAGCGCCTTGAAAATCCCATATAAAATGTTAAGACTAAATTCAAGAAACTAAAAATGAAAAAGGAACAGAAAAGATAACTAAATAAAGCAAAGAAGTTAAATTACCTTCAGAAATTCCATTTTCTTCATGCTTATCTTCTATATCAGCAACCATTCTGCTATCAGTGTCATCCTCAAGCTGCTTGTCTCGCTCTTTTTCCCTTTCTAACCTCTCTCTATCCCTTTCATTCTCCTTTTCTCTATCATGCCTTTCCTTCTCTCTCACTCGTGCACGTTCTTTTTCATGTTCCCCTTCGAACTCTTTATCTTTGTCTTTATCTCTCTCTTTTTCTTTTTCCTTTTCTTTCTCCTTCTCCTTCTCCTTCTCCTTCTCCTTCTCTCTATCCTTGTGCAGATTTCTTTTCTTCTCTCTTATTATCTGCCGCAATTCATTCACATCTTTTGTGATAAGATCCAAAGGTTGCAAAAATGAGAAATCTTCATCTGCATCTGCATCATTCTGGCAAGCTTGAAACAAAACTTGATCAATATAAACCCCATGGCATGTAAAACAAAAATGATCAACAAGCAACAATTAAAATCCAAAAACTCAGAAAACAAAAGATTTAAACATGCTAACATTACTCAAATTTGCTTCCATTTCCAGGTACTGGAGTCCCTTTTGTACAAATGTAATGAGAGCACCAGGTGGAACCATATTGCCATCTATGGTGCATTTGTTAATTCCTGCCTCATATCCTAAAGCAAAAGCTGAATGCGTAAAACCTGCAGGAATATAAGTGAAATCTCAAAAACTAATCTTTAAATCCACAATTTTATCTCATGACCCTTTGCCTTCTATCATTATCCAACCCTCACAGATGAAAACAATAACTACCAGACTTTTTTTTTTGGCCACACAGTCCGAACTTCCCTGAACTTTAAGACATTTGAGAATTGGTCCACTAACTTTCAATTTCAGATTGCACCTCCCTCCAACTATTTTTCATTTGAAATTAGATCATTCAGTTAGGTTTTCATTAATTCTAATGTGTAAGTGCAGTTCCTTAGCAGCTAAAAACATGCCAAAACTGATAAATGCTTTGCTTTTCCTTCTAAAATGTGTTCCGTACCTCCTAAATGCTAATAAGTAAGCAATTAAAGAACATTTTAGAAGGAAAGTAACAACTTTTGGAGGGAAAAGCAAAGCATCCATAAGATTTTGCACATTTTTAGTGTACTTCCCGTTTTAGAATTGACCAAAACCTAACAAAAGGATTCAATTTCTAATGAAAATTAGTTGGAGAGAGATCCAACCAGTAATTAAGAGTTGAGGGACTGATTCTCAAATGACTTAAACTTCAGTGAAGGTTTGGACCATTTAGCTATTTTTCTTTTTCTTTTTCTTTTTCTTTGGTTTATTTTTCTTTTCCCGAAAACGCAATAAAATTTAAAAGTTGTCTTGAATAATTCTGGCCTGTTGGATGTCTTCAATTACATTTGAATCAAATTCCTTGTGAACTTTATGTCTTTTCCCCCTCACATTAAACATGTGATTCAAAGCAGGCCCCTTTTTTTCATAAATTTCAAATTGCAGCTCCATTCTTCGTTTAAATTCCATACTGTAAAGTCAGACAACCAATGTGCAAACAAGCTTTTCATGTTCTTAACCAGAAAAAAAAAAAAAAAAAAAAAGAGGATAGACTTTAACAAAAAAGGAGAATCGAGCTCACAGATCTACAGGCTCGGGCTCCTTTTAGTTGGAAAATACAGAAACAAAACCCAAAATTATAGTCTGAACATAATAAAATTTGAAAATTCTAATTAATAACATTTTAAACCAAACTCTAAAAGCGAAAAACCCTAGCCTTCTTTAGGTCGTAAAAAAATAAGAATAAAAGGAAAAAAAACCCTAAATGGCAAGAAAATGATAGAATGTAAGTGAAAATGCAGCCAAACCTGACTCTTGAAGGTAACGGAAAACGAGGTAATTCAATTCGACGGAGGTGATTGAAGTCATTGTAACGAAAGTCGCCGGAATTAATGACTGTAATTATAGCTCATACAATCATACGGGCTATATAGAAAGAGGTGGCTGAAGGAAGAGCGCCGGTGAAAGTGAGGGAGACGGAGGAGCTCTGGAACTGAAAAACCGTTTTGTCACGAAGAGAGGTTTTCTTTATTGCTATACGATAGCATTTTGATTATTTTATTTTAGTTTCGAATTGGACGGGTAAGAACAGGAATTTTGACAACTGAAATGTGGGCTTCAAGGGGATGGATGGATTGCTTTAGCCCAATACCCGACCCAGTCTGATTTCACCCTATGGTTTGGGATCCCCACGTATTCCATTTTATCATATTCCATTTTATGATGTTCCAAGCTTCCTATAATCTTTTAAGTCTTGTTTGGTAAAAAATAAAATAATAAAAATAAAAATTTAATTCTTATTTTGTAGGTATTTATTAAAAATAAAATAAAATAAGAGTAGAAATGAGAATAGAAATGAAAAGTAGGAACGGAAATGAAAATTAAACAATTTTTAGGAGAGGTGAATAAAAACAAAAAATAAAAATAAAATCTTTTTTTAAGATAGTAATATATTATTTTTATTTATTATATATCATTTATTTTTTCCATCACTATCAATACAACCATTAATAATAGTGATAAAAAAATTCAAAAAGAAAAAACTATTATTATCTCGTAGTCAATTTTTTTCACCATCATTATTACCATTTTATTTTACCATTTCTACCACAATTAGCAATAATGATTAAAAAATTAAAAAAAAAACTATTATTGTTATTATTTTCACCACTACCTTTTTTTTCTACCACCATCATTTTTATTATATTATTATTATCATTATTACACTTTTCTCGCCACCAACATTACTTTTATTATGCCTCAATCATTTTTAGTTAACCAAACAACTAGGATAAAATGTGTCTAGTTCCTTCAATACTAATTAAAGTACTTATTACCGGTGTATATATATGTATATATGTGTATATATGTATAGATATGTATGTATATATATATATATACACACACACATATGTTGGTGTTTAATACATATGAATTTAGAAAATTAAGAAACTAAATCTTAATTTTTTAAAAAAATTTCAATAATATTTAGGAATAATTATAAAAAAATTTAAAAAAATTCTAAAAACTCTTTTATCTAAAAAAATAGCCAAATTATTTTTAAATCTCTTCATTCCAAACAATTTTTTTTTTTAACTAAAAGTCTCAATAGTTAACCCTCTACTTAACACTACTTATAATTATTGAGTGTTTTGATTAAAAAAAAATATTGTTTTATTGTTTTAAGTGTGAAAGAATTAAAAATAAATTGGTGGATTTTTTGGATGGAATATTTTTTAAAGGGTTTTCTAGTAATTATCCCTAACTTAAATGAAACCCGTTATATTTCAATATATGTATTTCTACTCGTGGATGTTCATGTTATGTTTCATTAATATACCAAGATATGTTATACATTAACATGTAATTTTAATTTAATTGATTAATTAAAGACTAGTACAACCGATGGTGGTTTTTTTATCAATACATTAAACTATGCTCCATTAGTTAAAATATGATCCCAACTAGCTTCCAAAATCATCATTAACTAGGGAGTTAGAAAAACCTAATATCTCAAATCTGTATTAATGCATAAAGAAGGTTTGGATACGAGATAAAAAGATGATTCAAGAACTCCAAAAGGATATTCCTTCTCGGGAAGATAGATTGAATTTCAACAAGGTAGTGAAAGATGGGAAAAAGGTTGAATAACCTCAAATATTCAAATGGCAATCTTTGGCCAATACTCGTTGTTGATGAGGGTGACATACGAATTGAGGAAAAGGTTCATAATTGGGCTATAAAACTATCGAATCCTTTTGAAGAGCAACTCAATAAACTCGTGGGAGCTTTCTATGGTGGTTAAAGTTCTTGGAAGAAGCATGAGATACAAAGCTTTATGCATTAGACCGGGAACCATATGGAATGCTCGTCGAGCCATTCGGAGTTATCGACATAGAGAATGACTATTTTTTAGTCCGAGTTTACAACCCACACTAACTACTTACATGCTTTGGCAAGGGAACCTTGGGCGATTCTTGGTCGCTGTCTAACTATCCAACCATAAGATCACAATTTTAGAGCATCGAAAGATAGGATCAAGCGTTCGATTATTTAGGTTAGGTTTTCGAATCTTCCATTAGCTAGTACCATCCATAAATCCTAAAGGCAATGGGAAAAATGATTGGAAATACCATTAAAATTGATTTTAATACTCAAAACAACATAAGGGCCAAGGTTATATGGGTGGCCATAGAGATGGACTTAGATACACTAATCCAAGGCTCTATTCTAATAGATGATTTGGTCCAAAAAGTAACCTACGAAGGTTTGCCACGGGTTTGCTATAATTGTGAAAGAGTGGGACACAATAGTACTGTTTTGTCCATTGATGCACTCGATGAACAACAATGGAGAAAATCACACTAAAGAAGAAGCACCGATTATGGGAGATAAAATCATAGATACTATTACGGTTAAGCTTAATGAGAAAGGCAAGAATTATAGGCCCCGGTTACATGTACAAGCTGCTCCCAAGTGTAGATTAAGAAGGCAAGATAGTGGAGGAACTAAGAATTTGGCGGTTATCAAAAAATTCTTTAGGAATGGCTTACGTTTTTCTATTTTGAATGATCAAGAAAATGAAATGGGTAGAGCTTCACAAACATCTAACGAGCATTAAGAGGGCGATTACCTCTTACCCCAATAAATTAGTAATTTATATTGGCCTTATAAAGCTTTTAATCACAATAATGTAAACATGGCAAGTAACAATCAAATTCACAGGAAAATAGGCTAAATTGACCTTCTCTTTTGGTAGAGTATTCTTGTGGTGTGAAAGGGGGGCTTTGTGTTTAGAATGCTTAGAAACCAATAAAGTAAAATGAAATAACAATATTAAGAAATTGAATTTCAGTAACCACTCTCGATTTAGTCACCGATCATTGATTACATAATTAACTTATCCTAAACATGAATATTCACCATACTACAACAACATATATATTATCCCCAATTTTTTCTTACTTAGTCATTAATCAAATATACGATACTCGATTAATTCTCTAGTTATTGAATAACCTACTAAGTGCTAGATAGATTTAATCTAATAACATTATTAATTAGAGAAAGACAGTGAAGCTAAGCCACCTTTCTAAGCACTATAAAAGATGTAACCTAGTTCTATGTTTTCCAAAGAATTGAATGAAAACATGAAAAATAATCATCAATCCCTAGTTACTACTATAAGCAAGTTTAAATAAGCAATTACATGAACTTGAATACTTAGGTAGCAATAAGTTAATGTGGTCAAACAATTAGCATGCATTCTAATCAATCTAATCACATAACTATAACCCAATCATGCAAAAGAATATAAAATACCCAATCAAAATAAGTTTAAAAATAAAATCCATAATCTCACAACAATTCAACCAAAAGCTTCAACTTGATTCAATTAAAAATAGAGTTTAGTTACTCATAATAGGTTATAAAGAGAGTTTTCTATGGATGGTGATTGCTAAAGGATGAGACAACAACATGTATGTCATCCACAATCTTTCCTTACTTCGTCGTTAACCAAATATACAATATCCGATTAATTCCATAATGATTGAATAACTTACTAAACGATAGATAGATTTAATCCAATAATAATATTAATTAGAAAAAGACAAGTGAAGGTAAGCTACCTTTCTAAGCACTAAAGAAGATGTAACCTAGTTTTATGTTTTTCAAGAAATTGAATAAAAATGTGAAAAATAATCATCAACCTTTAGTTACTACGATATGCAAGTTTAGACAAGTAATTACACGGACTTGAATACTTAGCTATTAATAATTTAATATGATTAAACAATTAACATGCATTCTAATCAATTCAATCACATAACCATAACCTAATCATGCAAAAAGCATAAAGTACCCAATTATGATAAGTTTAGAAATAAAACCCGTAATCTCACAGCGATTCAACCAAAAGCCTCAACTTGATTTAACTAAGAATAAAGTTTAATTGCTCATAATGGGTTACAAAGAGAGTTTTTTTTATAGATGGTGGCTGCCAAAAGATAGGAATCTCTCGCTAGAATGAGAGAATAAATAAAGTGAAATCTTAACTTTTCTATTTATAGCAAAAAGTAGGGTTACAATACATATATGTTAGCCCTATATGGCTTGTTTGTAGTAATACAATATCTTACTTGACTAAGGGACACGATCGTATGTCTTTTACACTTCATCTCATGTCTTTTGTTGCTTTATCTCATGTTTCTAACACTCGCTCAAATGAATTTTTTGCCTTCATCCCATGTCCCAAGCTTTTACCGGTGTGGAATTTGCACCTCATCCTGTTTCTCTAAATAATCAATTTGAATGAACTTGATATAGGCTAAATTAGGATTTATGTTCTTCAATAAAGTTGTATCCTTAGTTTTTAGCTTTTCAAGGCATTAAGAATTACATTAATTGGATCTCTATAGCTTTAATTATGAGTAAAATATTGACACCTACTCAACCTCTTTGCCCAACCTTAGGATTTCACTTTGCAGCTGAGTTCCTCCATGATAACGATCTATTTTGGACTCAAGACCTCTATAAGACTTGTAGGTATACCTTTTAAGTATTTCGAAGCTTCTCCTTGCATTAATTAGAGTTATGAAACTCTAGATATGAATTAACCTCTATAACTGATTTGGACACTAAATGGGATTCGGATTAGTTTTCTAAATCGAATATGAAATATAATTTAGAGACCTAAATGAACTAGGATTTTTACCTACCGGGCCTTAATAGCTTTTCCTCAAATGGTCACTTGTCTTTCTATGTGACTATCAACATTTGTGATAAAGGCAACTAGTTACTTAGCAAGTCATCAACCTAGAGTGTTTTGCATACTTATAATTCAAATTGTTGTTTAACATAAAAGTAAACATTGACGATGAATACTCCTATTTACTAAGCAACTCAAATCATTGGAGTAAAATTTTTGTTTTTTACTTACTTAGGCCAAATTTCCTAATGGAATGTTTTTTAGATTTCTTCTTAAATTTTCATAAAATTTAGAAAATCTCATTTATTTAAGTCGTGCTTAGGTCTAGTTTCTAAAAGGTATTTACAAAGTTAGTGTTACTACCTAAATCATGTTCAATCATAAAAATACATAAAGTTTTTTAGCATGCATGCACTTTTATAATAATAATATTTCAAACAATTTTAATCATCTTCTCAAATTTCATCAAACACCAATCAAGAAAAACGTCACACTAAATCATAGCATCCATTTCATTCATTTTTTTCGTTTTTCGTTTTTTTATATATAAGGGAATAAACTAAGATAAACATACAAAATTCAAAAAAAAAAAAACCTAAATGTTAAATGCATCCCTACACTTAAATTGGACATTGTCCTTAATGTTCAACGAGACTTATTCATAAAACATATAAATTAAAAGAGAACGGGTTAGAGATCAAATCTAGAATTGTAGCGATCAAAAAGACGCTAGTGGAGACAAAAGAGCTAGAGACACACACTTGTATCTCTTTCTTTCTTTAGAGATCGAACTACCACACGAGCGCACCAAATTTGGTACACAACTCATGTGGAATGCTACTCGTCCATGTCTTTTTCTTTCTTTATTGCCATTTTATGAGCTTATCACCCATACGGACGTGTGGTTACCTCTTATAAATCATGCAACATCCCACTTGTAGTGTGTTGTTGAAGGATCATATATCTTATGAAGGTATTGAATAAAACAAAAATTTCTTCCATTTAAAGGACCCAAGATCATGTCATTTAATCGGCTAACCATATATGCATGAATTAAAAAATAAACAAAGGATTACATCTTATAATGTAGATTTTAACCTTAGTTGAAAAAGAACCGTCTAATCATCCGACCTCTATCGATAATCCATGCGAGTCCAAGCACCTATACAAAAACACTCAAAATGGTAAAGTGCTAGTCCTACCTTTTCCGACTTGTTTAGTGTTTTTACTTTAAAAATCAATTCAAGAATTTTTACAACAACCCTAAGAGAGAGAAGGAAAAATGATGTGTACTAGGGTTAGAGAAAACGATTTTCTCATTTTTTTACTCTATGTCATGTAACCCTATTTTTCTTTTCTTTTTATCGTGTCTCTCTCTTGAAATTATATCTTTTGTCACACCTCTCTCCCATATTTATAGGGGAGAGGCTTCCTTATCCTCCAAGAACAAGGAAGGTGGTGGCAATGAGTCCTTAAAGGACTCTAGGTTGTTGCTTCCTAATACTCCAAGAATTAGGAGTTATTATGCATGTGGGCTTTTTGATCTTATCTTTTAAAACATTCATCCTTCTCCAATAAGGTTCATGTTTATCTTCCCACCAAAATATCTTACAAGTTTTTAATTAAACCTATTAGCCCAAACTTCTTTAACTCAATTAATTACTAATTAATTTGGACTATCCAAATAAATTAGGTCGGATATTTTTAGGAGACTCACATTAGAAAATAATTTTTTAAATTACCTTTAAACCTAAATTAAGAAACTAATTTCCCTTTTAGGTTATTTACTTTAAAATTAGGAAATTAATTTCCCAAAAAAAAAAACTTTCTATTCTAGGAAACTTACCATTTTTGAAAACCTTTTCTAAAATATAAAACTTTCACATTGGAAACTTTTTCCAACATCTTTAATTCTATTTTATTATGTGAATGCTTAAACTTAAATGTATGACTTAATAAGCTCCTAGATATGTTGACTTATATGTGTGACTCAATAAGCTCCTAGATATGTTGACAATGTATCAAGAATAAAAGACACCTCTTTTATCTCTTAATACATAAATCAAGATTGGTCTCTAGCAAGACATCATGAATATCTAATTCTCTAATAGGACTAATTAATAAATAATTATCCTTCACAAGCATGGTTACTATATAATCCGGTCCTCATGTCAACTTATCACAATGTGATCTTGAACTTGGTTATTATTTCTTGAGTAGATATTTATCGAAATGCAATGTGATAACTCCTTTAGCATATAAGGAATGACATGTCATATCTTAGTCATCCACCTACCTTTATTAGATTCCTAATACACCCAACAAATCACTCATGTATAACCCTTTACTAGGTCTATCGAAATGATTGTTAAAGTACATAAATCCTCTAATGAGATAACCGTGATGACTTCAAGTTTAAGGAGTAATTGTACCTATCTTGTATGAGATTCCCATAAACTAAATCAAATGAGTTCTCATTACGAGTCAAGTCTAGTGTTATGTTCTCTAACATAAATCACCTAAGTGCTTGAATTAGAATTATTATATCAATAGATGTGAGATCTCTTACTGCAATATATAGTATGAGCATAGAAATCATAAATCTAACTATATATATTTAATGTTCATTCTTAACAATGTTACGACTTGAGACATTTAATGCTATCATTTATGTGCATTAATTTTTGTCTCATATCTTTTGATCAATCACTAATACAAATGCATATCATATGAACTTCTATCTAATTTTATTCAATATATAAATATAAATAAATAAAAATTAATAGAAAGACTTCTTTTATTATTAATGAAATAAATAATGCAACGATATAAGAATTCAAACCTATCCAAATATGATTGGATCTTGGACACCTACACTAATAATCTCCCATTCACACTAGAGCCAACTGACC